TATCTTCTACCTCGAAGACTTTCCTGAAAAACGTTAGCATATTTGTTAGACAAGATTTTCCCTTTGTAAACCCATGTTGAGAGTCGTAGTTTAATTTGCTTTTCTCTAGATGCGATCGGATGCTATCTGCTATAATTGATTCAAGAAATTTACCCACTACTGACGTCAAACTGATCGGCCGGTAATTTGACACTGATGCTCTGTCTCCCTTTTTGAGTATGGGTACTACATTTGCCTGTTTCCACAAGTCTGGCACAACTCCAGTGTCTAATGATTTTGTAAATAACTTTATGAGGGGTCAGCTAATCTGTTCCCTACACTCTTTCAAGACTCGAGGGAAAATTTCATCCGGCCCTGGAGATTTTGTTTTCTTTAGTTTATTTATCTTCTTAAGAACATCTTCTTTTCTGATAGTGATATTCTTTAATTTCTCTTCTTCCTTTCCCTTAGATATCAGTTGCACCTCTGGAATTTATCGCATATTTCTTCTGTGAAAACTGATAAGAAGTAGCTGTTCAATGCTTTGCTTATTTCTTCACTGCCATTTATCACTTCTCCCCTCCCTGACTTTAAAGACCCAACTTTGTCCTTGACCTTTGTCCTATATACCTGGAAAAATCCCTTGGGATTCGCCTTGGATTCTCTTGCTATTTTGATTTCATAGTCTCTCTTTGCTTTCCTTACATTTTTCTTAACATTCCTAGATAGTTCATTATACCTATTTCTGAGTTGCTCCTCCCCTCCCTTTAATTTCTTATATATTCCTTTCTTTATTCCTATGTCATGTTTAAGTTTTCTGGTCATTTACCTTGGCTCATTCTTATTTGACCTAATTTTTTGGTATGGTATATTTTGTTCTTGTGCTCTATGTAGTATACTAGTGAATATATTATAGTCATGATCAATTGTTGTGTCATCTATGACCTCACCCCTTCCTACTGGGGACTGATGTGACTGTTCCCAGGTGACCTCACCTAGGTACCTTCTTAACCCCTGATAATCCGCCAACCGAAAGTTTGGGACTCTGACCATATTATCATTGTTTTTTTGTTTCCCAATTTAGGGTGAACCTGATTTCTCTGTGATCACTGTTACCTAGTTCTTCCCCTACTGTGATATCTCTGATAATATTTTCTTTATTTGTTAATACTAGGTCTAATATATTGTCACCTCTAGTAGGTTCTGTAATTAGTTGTTTCAAAAAATTGTCCTGTACTGCATCTAGGAAGTCTTCAGACTCATAGTCGCCTACAATGTTGTCCCAGTCAATATTTCTGAAGTTGAAATCCCCCATAATGCATAGGTTGTTATATTTTGCTGCCCTACTCATTTCCTGCCATATGGGCTGAGCTGCTTCCTTGCCAAGACTTGGGGGCCTGTAAATCACTCCCATAATTAGTTTTTCTCTTCCTTCCGTGATTTCTACCCACACAGACTCGGTTCCTATTTCACCTATTTCACAGCTATCTGGGCTGTTGACAATCCTGGAACGGGCTGTGCTCATGGGGCGACTCGGAGACATCATGAACCAAAACCCCAAGGAACTATCAACACTCACAATTGACTAAACTATGAATCAGTTACTCCTACGTCACAATACCGAAAATCTGACACAAACTTAAATCAATACTCATCCTCTAGATATCGAGAAGAAAAATATCTCGACTGGTAACTTCAAATATTTCTCAGACTCAAAAATCGACCGCGTTTTTAACAACGACAGTATTATCCACGACATGTATAAAGCAATCTTATACTCCGTAAAATTATTTCAAATCACGAATAACAATATTGGCCAGTTTAATGTCACTAATGCTGGTTGATGGGTTTTGTTCTCAGGTCTCTATGTATCTCGGCTGTGGTTCTGGTGAAGGGGTATCTTTCACCTGTGACGAATCTTAGAGCTTCATTTTGGACCACCTGTAATTTTAATTTTTGAGTGGTGCTCATAGCATGAAGAGGTACTGCTGGGTAAGTTAATATCGGTGTGATAAATGATGTCACCAGGCGGGGTTTTATTTTCTCAGGAAGCGCTTTAAAGCTGGGCAGTGGCTGGTTCCTTTTCCGAGGGGAAGGGATTTTTGTGGGCCTGCGGGTGGGGGGGGGGGGTCTGGTACAGAGGGTGGATGAGTGGGGGGTATACAGTTGCCCGAGAGCCCCTCCAAACAAGGGTTTTATGACTGAACGTTACGTGTTTCCCATGTTTTTTGGCTTCTTTAAACTTGTCCATGCAGTTGGCAGGCTTTAGTCGTACCTTGGCATAGGTCCTCGTTGACAAAGACAGAAGTGCCTTTCATCTTACTGTGCTGATGGAAGACTTTGTCACGGACAGAGGGGAAGAGGAATTGGATTTCCCGTCGCACTGAACACTGTCAAACTTGACCAGTAAGTTTAAAATGGTCTTTCAGCAGGCGTGAAATTTTGTGCTGGGATGACTCCCAGTTCTCGAGGGAATCTCCGGGGACTCCGACACAACTGAGGTTGTTTTGCCGCCCTATGTCCTCCACATATAATCCACCCAATCCGCTGTTGTCTACAGTTCCGTCTTGAACTTGGAGTTCTCCTCACTCAGTTGTTGAACTCTCTCTCTCTCTCTCTCTTTGTCTATCTATCTATCTATTGTTACATATGTCTATGTATTTACATAATATTATGATGCGTGCTGTATATTAATTTTGTATCGGTCAACGATGCAAGAACAGTTTTCTATGAACTAAGCATAAATGAAAGATTTACTGTATGTATTTGTTACTATTAGTTTATTTTTTGCATTGGATGTGAATTATTTTGGTACCATGTAACTCCTAATATTTTGTAATCATATAATATTATGTATTTGTATGACGTAGTTTTGAGATAATATTCTGGCTGTAAAAGGTGTACTGTTGTTGCCCTTGTAGAAGCTCTCTCTCTCTCTCCAGGCAGAGACAGGGTGTGAATTGGGAACCAGGAATGTGTGACTATATCTTATTTCATCCGTTGTATATCTCATGTTTGAGTATCAATTTGCTCATCAGTGTTAAGGGTGAATGATGGGTGATATTATGTGAACGGAGAGAGAGCCATATTATGGAATTAAGGCAGATAAATTATTAAATTATTTGGATCACAGGACCATGCAGCATTATTGTCTGTAGTCTTGTTTATTGTAATTATATTAAGTTCAGTTGTTACAAGCTGGTGTTACTTCGAATCCTGATTACACGATTTAAGCAATAGTGTCCTTGGATGCATGTTCATAGTGTAATTGTATGGAAATGTCATCTTCAACTGTCAGCTGAAGGTGGCATAGGTTTGTCTACATGATTCTGGTCTGTTAACCAAAGCTGTTATTTCAGAAAGTGAGTCTGATTAATGGGCCTAGAGGTTTAAGCTCTGCTGAAACATGAGGAATATTCAGTAGTGGCCTTGACATGTGAGGGGCCTCTCCGGGATATTTTGAAATTGTGATACATCCAAGAATGAGTTTTTACCATGTAATCTGCACTGTGGTGTACTGTACTGTGTACTACTGAGGGCTGAATGACACTGTAAGTAAGTGAATGTTGACAGTTTTTGTGAGTAGTGTATTACAAGGTTTGTTAACCAGTAATATTGTGTAATCAGGCTATTTTTGTATTCAAGTAAAAAGCAAAATGGCAGAAAAAGTGAATGTAAAGAATTTCTTTGAAACCCAGGTTGTACACCATCTCTATCGATGTACTAAAAAAAATTATATGAATCTGCCTCTTTATATGAGATTTATTTAAGGCCTACTAATAAATGTGACATGCAGAAGGAGTTGGTGGGAGAATTAGTCTCTTTGGGAGTGTAAAAAGACTTTGAGAAGTAATCTGAGGGGTTGGCTAACAGTGATGGTAGGATGTAGATGAGTGAAAATTTGGCATTGGAAAGATTAATGTTAGAATTTGAATATAAGAGATAGGTAGAGAAGAAGAGAATCCAAGCAGAGGCAGAGAAGGAGAGAATCCAAGGAGAGGCAAAGGAGAGAATTCAAGCAGAGGCAAAGAATGAGAGAATCAAAGCACAGGTAGAGAAGGAGAGGATCCAAGCACAAGCAGAGAAGGAGAGAATCCGGGCAGAGACAGAAAAGGAGAGAATCCAAGCACAAGCAGAGAAGGAAAGAATCCAAGCACAGGCAGAGAAGATGAGAATCCGGGCAGAGGCAGAGAAGGGAGAATACAAGTCGAGAAAGAGAAAATACTTAAAGAATTAGAAGTAGAGGCAAAGATAGGTGTAAGACTTGTAAACAGAAAAAAAGATCATTGAGTTAGCAAGTTACCAGAGTTTGTTGAAGCGGAAGCAGAAGATATCTTTATCCATTTTGAGAAAATAGCAAAATTAAAGGATTGAGATGAAAATGATTGGGCTCTTCTGGTTCAGACACAGTTCATATGAAAAGCAAGAGAGGCTTAACCCTAGATAGGTATTCCTTATTTGAAGTTGCACTGCAGGTAATGGTGGGTCTTACTGACCCACTAATGAAGGATATCATAAATAACAACATTTTATAAACTGACATTTTTCTTTACATATTATGAAAATTATATATCTTTTGGAGTTATTCCAATAAACAGCATTAAAGTATAAAAACATTTACCTCCTTCCACATCCAATTATAAAAAAAGGTAAATAATTAAAAAACAAACAAAAAATACACGTACATCTATGGTACCATAGAACAAAAACTATTATTGCAATCGCGGTTTTATTATTATGGCATACATGTAAAGGGTGATACTCAATATTTTGCCAGTGACATCATCATAGGATCAGTGGTCTGGCAGGGCCAGGAGACTGAATTTGGCACTACACTACGTACACACGCTCAATGTTTTCCACTTTACACACAGTCGATGCAGACATTGTATGAGTGCACACCACACACAGGCTGCCGGCAAGAGTTGCACACATTCTTGTTTTTTCTATCTTCCTTCTTTGTGCACTATACACACCTTTTCTTCACAGGTAGGGCTGGTGCGAATGTTGGAATTGGGGCATTAACCTGCAGCAGATATGCTATGACCTGTTTGGTATTCCGTTTTAGGCTTGGTGTGTTGAGACTTTTTCTGGGCCCAAGGTGTCACCATCTGTAGAGCTAGGTCCTGCATAAGCGAACGCCGCTCTTGTTTCTTCACTTGCTGCCCTTCCTTGTTCTTTGAGTAGATAATCCGTGAGTTGATGGTTGCAGCATTGACTATTCCATAGAAGAGACATAAATGCCATCTCCTGGGCTTACGGCTGCAGAAATACATGCTGCACATTTGATCAAATGTATCCACTGCACCCTTAGTTTTGTTGTAGTAATTGATGATTTCTGGTTTCCCATTAGTATCAATGGTGGGCTGGCTGTGCATGATAGAGGGGAGGAGGACGAGCTTCTTCTTAGTCCGGGGCAAGTAGGATACCATTGTAATGTCGTTGTCGAAGCAAAATGCACTGCTATCTGCCTCTCGTCTTATTTTCATGTTCATCTCTGGTGGAATATGCGGCTTATTGGAACGCAAAGTGCCAACAATAGTCAGGCCACAATTCGTGAGCATGTTCACTGACAATTGAACTGATGTAATTCAGTTATCAGTGGTAATATTCCTCCCGCTACTGAAGTATGGCTTAGTAAGTTCCTTCGTAAAATAGTGTCCTTGATGAAGCCCTTTAGAAGCCTGTAAGGTGGTAGATTGTTTGCCCAAGTATGGAATGGCATTCAACATATATTTTGTGTCAACATCACACATCATGACAAGTTTGATCCCGTACTTTGCAGGCTTGTTGGGTATATACATCCAGAAAAGGCATCTCCCATGAAAGGCAAGAAGTTGTTCATCTATAGTGAGTGCATCTTCAGGAATATAATGAATATGGCACTTGCTGACAAACTCATCCCAGAAATTTCGGATGGAAGCAAGCCTATCAGTCTTCTTCCGCTTACTTCTAGTAGCTGCATCGTCAAAATGAAGGCACCTCAGCAAAAAGCAGAAGCGTCTTTCGCTCATGGCAGCCTGATACAGTGGTGTACCTGCCAGCTGGTGCCACATTTCTGCCGATGACAGGTGGTTGTCGCGCCTGCATCCGCTTAAGATAAGGATTCCAATCAAGGTTTTTGTCTCCCCGATGCTGGTCTCCTCAATAGTTGCCATCTTCTTGCTGAACTTCGTTGAAAGAGCAGAGATGAGTACGTATGTATGTGCCACAATTTTTTGGATCATATCCTCATCTAGGAATAGTTCCAGAAACTTTTCTGGAGTGTCAGCAAGAGTAGCACGTCCTTGTGGGCCAGGTCTCTCCCAGTGACTATGTTTCTGCTAGGCGTCCTGGCAGTTCTCCTAGCAGCAGGGGTAGCGCTCCATCGATGGTCATTACGCTCATGCACAGATGTTATGAAGAATTTAACAAGTGCAGTGGAAGTAGGAGCGGTGGAAGCAGCAACAGTGGAAACAGAAGCAGAGTTGCTACCTGACCCAACTTGGAGAAGGACGTGCCCCCAAGTGCCCCCGTTAGTGACCAAGGAAAATGGCCGCCTTGGATCGTTGTGTCTTGGGGGAACAGGAGCAGAGTGTGAGAAAAGACGACCTCCTGGCCACTCTGTTAAGTCAGCTGGGGCAGTTGAGGAGTGAGATTGACACTCTAAAGGGGGAAAATGAAGACCTCAGGACTAAACTCCTTCAGGTAGGTATCCTGCCTAGCAGGACACCTGCGAAGGAGGAGCAGGCGTGGAGAGTGGTTGTCTCCAAGGGTACTAGGGTCAGACTCAGGAAAGCTGACCAGGGTGTGGAGTGTAGTAACCCCTACCAGGTGCTGGAGGAAGCTGGCGGGGAAGAGAAGAGGCAGGACGGTATGGTACAAGAAGAGGAAAGGGCAGTTATACAAACCCTGCCCAGAGGTAAGGTCGTGGTAATTGGGGACAGCCAGGTGAGGTTTTTAGATAGGACTTTGTGTGCAAGAGATAAGAAACGTAGGACTAGGGTGTGTTTTTCTGGGGCTGGGATAGGGCATGTAGCTGAGAGGATAGATAGCGTTTTGTCAGGGGAGGTTACCAATCCAGTAGAGTGTCATAGTGTGGGAGGAAACGACATAAGAAAGGTTAGGAGTGAGGAACTTTTCAAGAGGTATAGGGAGGCGCTGGGGAAGATTAGAGATAGGGGAGGGATCCCTATAGTATGTGGTGTCTTGCCTAGAAGAGGGGTTGGTCGTGAATGGCTGTCCAGGGCAATTGCTATAAATTGCCGACTGGAAAAACATTGTGCAAACAATGGTTGGGCATTCATTGATAGCTGGCAACGATTCTATGGCAACGACTACCTGTACAGTCGTGACGGAGTACACCAGTCTCGTGCGGGGGTAAAGACGTTGTCTGCATCCCTGGAGCGTGAAATTGTCACTCCAAAGGGGGCGTTTCGCCAGTAGAGAGAGGTTGGGGAAAGTGGGACTCAAAAAACAAGCAGGTCCTGGGAAGTAAAATTGGTTACTCAGGACAAGGGGTAAAACAGGACCAGGGAAGGGTAGGTTTAAATGTATACTATACAAACAGTAGGAGCATTAAAAATAAAATAGACTTGCTGAGAGCGGTTGTATGTACCGAGAATGTAGACGTCATAGCAATCACCGAAACTTGGGTGAATCTGGCTAGCAAATTTTTTTTATCAGAGTACCACATAGAAGGGTACAACCTTATTCACAAGGACAGGGAAGGTAGGAAGGGGGGAGGGGTCGCACTCTTCGTCAAGAATACATTAAAATATTGTATTAATAATTCAATAAAGGGTGAAATCGGAACCGAGTCTGTATGGGTAGAAATCACGGAAGGAAGAGAAAAACTAATTATGGGAGTGATATACAGGCCCCCAAGTCTTGGGAAAGAAGCAGCTCCGCCCATATGGCAGGAAATGAGTAGGGCAGCAAAATATAACAACCTGTGCATTATGGGGGATATTTCAACTTCAGAAATATTGACTGGGACAACATTGTAGGTGACTTTGAATCTGAAGACTTCCTAGACGCAGTACAGGTCAATTCTTTTAAAGAACTACTTACAGAACTTACTAGAGGTGACAATATATTAGACATAGTATTAACAAATAAAGAAAATATTATCAGAGATATCACAGTAGGGAAAGAAATAGGTAAGAGTGATCACAGAGAAATCAGGTTCACCCTAAATTGGGAAACGAAAAACAATGACAATATGGTCAGTGTCCCAAACTTTCGGTTGGCGGATTATCAGGGGTTAAGAAGGTACCTAGGTGAGGTCACCTGGGAAAAGTCACGTCAGTCCCCAGTAGGAAGGGGTGAGGTCACAGATGACACAACAATTGATCATGACTATAATATATTCACTAGTATGCTACATAAAGCACAAGAACAAAATATACCAAACATAAAAATTAGGTCAAATAAGAATGAGCCAAGGTGGATGACCAGAAAACTTAAACATGGCATAGGAATAAAGAAAGGAATATATAAGAAATTAAAGGGAGGGGAGGAGCAGCTCAGAAGTAGATACAATGAACTATCTAGGAATGTTAAGAAAAATGTAAGGAAAGCAAAGAGAGACTATGAGATCAAAATAGCAAGAGAATCCAAGGCGAATCCCAAGAGATTTTTCCAGGTATATAGAACAACGGTCAAGGACAAAGTTGGGCCTTTAAAGTCAGGGAGGGGAGAAGTGATAAATGGCAGTGGAGAAAAAAGCAAAGCATTGAACAGCTACTTCTTATCAGTTTTCACTGAAGAAATTCGCGAGGAAATTCCACAGGTGAAACTGATATTTAGGGGAAGGGAAGAAGAGAAATTAATGAATATCACTATCAGAAAAGAGGATGTTCTTAAGAGGATAAATAAACTAAAGAAGACAAAATCCCCAGGGCAGGATGAAATTTTCCCTCGAGTCTTGAAAGAGTGTAGGGAACAGATTAGCGGACCCCTCGTAAATTTATTTACAAAATCATGAGACACGGGAGTTGTGCCAGACTTGTGGAAACAGGCAAATGTAGTACCCATATTAAAAAAGGGAGACAGAGCATGAGCGTCAAGTTACCAGCCGATCAATTTGACTTCAGTAGTAGGGAAATTTCTTGAATCAATTATAGCAGATAGCATCCGATCGCATTTAGAGAAAAGCAAATTAATCTACGACTCTCAACATGGGTTTACAAAGGGAAAATCTTGTCTAACAAATATGCTGACGTTTTCTAGGAAAGTCTTCGAGGTAGCAGATAATGACGAAAATTACGATGTTATTTACTTAGACTTTAGCAAAGCATTTGACAGAGTACCGCATCAGAGGCTTCTGAGAAAAATTAAGGCTCATGGTATCGAAGGAAAAGTTTTTAATTGGATAAAATCATGGCTCACCAATAGAACGCAGAGGGTCAGCGTAGATGGTGCTAAATCTGAGTGGGGCCGTGTAACCAGTGGGGTTTCCCAGGGGTCAGTACTAGGCCCACTCTTGTTCATAATCTACATAAACGATCTAGATACTTGGATCAGCAGTGACATAAGCAAGTTTGCGGATGACACCAAAATAGGGCGGCAGATTAATTCAGGGCAGGATGTAAATGCATTACAGAAGGATCTAAATAAACTGCAGGGGTGGTCTGAAAAATGGCAAATGAAATTCAACACCAGCAAGTGCAGCGTACTTAATATTAGAAGAACAAATACTGTCAGTGTATACAGCCTTAACAACATCAACCTTGAGAAGTCGACTTGTGAAAGAGACCTAGGGGTACTTGTAAGTAATCAGTGTAAGTAATAAGAGTGAAGAGGTCATATTGCAACTATATCTTGCGCTAGTCAGGCCGCACCTCGATTATGCGGTTCATTTCTGGTGCCCTTTTTATTGAATGGATGTCAATTCACTAGAGTCGGTGCAGCGAAGAATGATGAAAATGATTCCGGGACTTAGAAACCTTCCATATCAGGATAGGTTAAAGAAACTAAACTTGCATTCCCTAGAAAGACGAAAGGTGCGGGGACATATGATAGAACTATTTAAGTGGGTGAAAGGAATCAATAAAGGGGATATAGATAAAGTTTTTCTAATATCCGAGCAGGGTAGGACTCGGAGCAACGGATTTAAGTTGGATAAGTTTAGGTTTAGGAGGGAGATAGGAAGGAACTGGTTCACAAATAGGGTGGTGGACGAGTGGAACAAGCTTAGCAACTTTGTAGTAAGTGCTGGAACGCTGGAAAGTTTCAAAAGGAGACTGGATAGATTCATGGACGATAGAGAGTGGTAGTAACTCTCGACAGGAGCTGCCATGGCACAGGCCAACCGGCCTACTTCAGACTCCTTATTTTCTTATGTTCAGAGGTCGCAGAAGCAGCGGTAGCAGGAGATGTGGCAGCAGGAGTGATGAGGCGCCTCTTCCTGGCTGATGTTGCGGTGGAGATGGAGAGTCTTGGGTCGTCAGCTACTCATTATCGCTGTCATCCTCGCTGGGCACGCTGGGTATATACCCCTCACCCTCCTCACTGTCGTACTGCTCGTATACCGTCAGGTTGTCCTCCTCAGAATCTTCTTCCTCAAGCCTTCTGAGCTCAT